TTGCAGGTAAATAATAAGCATTTCATAATTTAGTTTGTTAAATTGAAACTTCACAAAAACCGTATAAAACATGTGACACTGTCCCTATTATGCAGTTGAAGAAAAGGACTTGGAGAGATAAACTAGCTAGCTTCTCAAGATCACACAGCCGAGATCATTTGAGAAGTTCATTTGATGTGAAAACTTTCAAAGATAAACCTGCTATGCTGTGACTTTTTGTTTTTAAGAAGATATGATTTTATTAGCTGAATTTTATATTTTCAGGTATTTTCTTATACCGCTGACAAAGAAATCCGAACCGATGACTTGTGCTTGGATGTTTCTAGACTCAATGGACCTGTAATCATGTTAAAATGCCACCACATGAGAGGAAATCAGTTATGGGAATATGATGCTGAGGTATAGTATTTTCCTTCATTTACTTTTTTGGGAATCTTTCAACTGAATTAATACTGGGTGGGGCAAAAGTAGGTTTACAGTTGTGAGTATATAAAACAGAGTTTATTCTTGTATTATTTTCCATAAAAACAACTGTGATCCTACTTTTGCCCCACCCTGCATTTCAAATATATTTAAACCCTAAGTTATTTTTTTCTGCATTGGAAAAACTGCACTTTCAAGCATGTATGCTCATATTACATAATATTAGGATGGTATATAAGAAGGTTTTTGCCAAACTAGTCTTTAAGTATAAAATATGAATGAGAAACATAAAGTCACTTTTATGTGCTTAGAATTTGTTATCATATGTACATGCTCAACATAAATTAGGCAAAGGGCAGGCTATGCTTATCTGAGGGTTATGTTTGCAGATGTACATACAGAACAGTATCAGCAATAGTTTCATATTTTTAATTTTACACCGTTGTAATCTCTGATATTTGTGCTTCTCACTTTAAAGGAAAAAAAATAAAGATTAGCTTGAACATTCTTTATAATAGTAAATACTTTGCAAAATTCAGTAAACTAATTAGGTACATAATCAGTTAAGCAACCTCTTCCCAATATAGCAAGTCTCTCTGAGAGAAGAGAGGAAGAAAAAAACCAATAAAATGATTGGGAATTTATAGCCAGGCAGTGTGTAAACACCAAACCAACCATCAGATGGAGCTAATAAAAAAGAAATATTTTCCTCTGCATGAGGAAGCTACCTTGAAACAGCTTCATTTCTTTCATTTCTCTTTGCTTAATAAAATGATTTTGTTGTCTGGTTACATTTTCCACCTTATTAAATGGTTGGTGACTTATTTAAGATAAGAAGTAAACCTCATTCTTACATGATAAATAATACAATAGAGGTAAATGAATTTCACAAATGCAGTCTTCTATGAAAGCTTAAAATACTATGCAAGAGTAACATTTTAAAAACTAATCTGCAGATTTGTTGGTAATATTGATATTTTAACAAGGTCTTCTTTTTAAAAACTTTTTGAATGTCATTTTAATTTGCATGATGTTGTAATTTCTTAAGTGGGATATCAGAAAAAGTTACTGAATTCTTACATGATTTGAAGCTAGTTACATAGGGTTAAAATTTGTCCCTAAGATTTATATAATATTACCAAGTTTCTGGGATATAATTAAGTCAAACTCCATGAATCCTTCCTGTGTTGCATCACTGTGTTTCATCCAGACTCTTTGGTCCTCTCAATACTTATTCATCTTCTTTATCTGACCACCATTATTTTTCTCTTCACCTATTGTCATCACCACCCTGTATATTAAGGCTATAGAAGACATTTCCTCTAATAATACGTGTGAGTAAATTTGAACCTTTCTCTAGTCAGTTCCCTACTTCTATGAGGAGAAGTGCAGATAAATGTACAGAAAAAGGAGAAATCCCGAAAGAAGTATTTTCTTAAATAAAACTTTTTGTTGTTATTGTTGCACTTTAGTTTTCACTAGGATCCTAGGACTTTATTGGGAATGTGCTAAAATAATCTAGCATATATTTTTAAGAAAAGGTAAGAGAATGTGTATATTTTTAATAAGAATGAATGTTGTTGAATTTTAAAATACCACTCAATCTTTAAACATTTCTATAATTTTGAGTGGATAATGGCTTTTATAGTCATGACTCAAGTGTCTTCATTTCTGAAATAACTATTGTTGCTAATTAGGCATATGTTTTCATTTATATTTCTATCAGCCAGTAGGAAGATTATTGAATACTAAGGGATTTTGAAAGGAAAGTGAAAAGAAAAATTGGTAGTCTCACCTAAGATAAAGAAAAAGTTTTTGTAAATTTACTAATTGGATGAGCCAGCATTATTTCTTTGCAGCAGTTTTAGATTATTGTACTATTTTTATCATGGAAATTTTGTTTCTACAACACATACAAATAAAGCTTATACTATGTCTTTAATAGTATTAAGAAATGTTTATTTTTAAATGATCTAATCACCTTCATAATTATATAACAGTTTAATTTGCTGCCTTACATGATTATGTTTTCAAAATTAAATTGTGATATTCAACTTGTCTAAATTTTTAAATCATAATGTAAATTTTTTGCCAAATTTATAAATGTGTAAATCAGAATATAGAGAAGTCACAAGATAATAGAATACCTGTAGGAATGATGCATTGCCTTTCTGGACATTTCAGTTTTGAAATAAAAAACATATTTTTTGTGAAAAGTAAGAAAAATTGAAACGACTTTAAAAAAATTGGAATATATTTCCTTTTTATGATCATTTCTTCTTTTAAATATTAGGTTTAGGGCCACTTTAGTCTACAGAATGGTCCCCATCTTTGCTACCCAGTGTGTGATTCCATGACTAGTTAACAGCACCTGGGAACTTGATAGAAGTTAGGAATCTCAGGTATCACCCTGGACACACTAAATCAGAGTCTGTACTTCAACAAATCCCCAAGGCATTCACATACATATTAAATTTGTTTTCAAAATTAAATTGTGATATTCAACTTGTCTAAATTTTTAAATCATAATGTAAATTTTTTTGCCAAATTTATAAATGTGTAAATCAGAATATAGAGAAGTCACAAGATAATAGAATACCTGTAGGAATGATGCATTGCCTTTCTGGACATTTCAGTTTTGAAATAAAAAACATATTTTTTGTGAAAAGTAAGAAAAATGGAAACGACTTTAAAAAAATTGGAATATATTTACTTTTTATGATCATTTCTTCTTTTAAATATTAGGTTTAGGGCCACTTTAGTCTACAGAATGGTCCCCATCTTTGCTACCCAGTGTGTGATTCCATGACTAGTTAACAGCACCTGGGAACTTGATAGAAGTTAGGAATCTCAGGTATCACCCTGGACACACTAAATCAGAGTCTGTACTTCAACAAATCCCCAAGGCATTCACATACATATTAAAGTTTAACAAGGACAGGTCTACACAGTGGCCGAATATCTACTAATCTTCCTTAGTCTTTTTATACGCTGTTGAAAAATATTGCAAAGTTGGGAAACGGCATATATACTTTGGAAAACGACAAGGCTTCCAGGAGAGAAGGGGAGGGAACAGGAGCAGAAGGTGAGAGGCGCAAAGTCAGGAGCGAGGAGTAACTGCCAAGTATTTCTAGTCTTTTCATATTACAACCAGTGAAAGGTAGACAAGTGCTGCTTGCCACTTCTTTAATTTATTCTTTATCTATTGCTATCAAAGGCAAAATTATTCTTTGAGAAACCTCTGAGGTGGTGCAGTTTCAAAGCAGAATAAAAGTTGGTGGTATTCACAGAATTATAGAGCTGAAACTTCCCTTAAAGCTCTCTTCTTTGAGCCTTTATCAGCAGAACTCTAAAGCACAAAGATCACCCCGCCGGCAGTGGAGGCAGAATTAGGTCCTAATAAAGTATTCAAAGGAAGCTAGTTATCACTGCAATTGTGAATCTCACAGTGTGAACAGTTGAAATATTCCATCACCTTATCACCTGGAATCCTTTCAGTCTTAGAAAAGTAAGTCATAAATAAGAACAGAATTGTGGGAATATCCAGAGAAAAATGGAAACTGTGTCATAAAGCCTCAAAATATGGAATCTATTTAGTTGCTTTGGTTTGTTTACTTTGTAGATGGGCATGTGGAAGGGAGTGGAAGGGAATAAAGTATACAGAGTGCCTATAATCTGTTTTCTCATGCAATTCTAATGATAGTCCTATCTATAATAATAAAAGCATAATATGCTAATTAGACCGGACATCCTTCCGGACGGCCTTCTGTACGAAGCTGGGGCTGAGAGGGAAGCCTGGGTCCTAGGTACCAGAGGGAAACTGGTGCCGGCAGCCTGGAGAAGGAAGGCCTACTCTTGCACAAATTTCATGCATTAGGCCTCTAGTAAGATAATAATATTTTGCTTGTATTCTTCACATTAGTAAACATAGCTTAAAGTATTTAAATGCCTTCTCCGGGTTTGCACACTACAGGTTTCTGGCACTTAATTGAGCATTCTTTCCACATTTTTCCATTCTTGAGGTCATTGGAAAACTAGAAACAATTAGATGCTTTCAATGATTATGATCTGGTGGGTTTAATGTACAGTGTTATAAATGAAAGAAAGAAATACTATCCATTATTTGTGTTACCAAATTTTATTCACATCGAATTTCTCCTTAATCATTGGAAAGATGTCCTGCAATAAGCATTGTCTATTGAGACAAATCGTTATAAAACTACTTTGTCAGTAGGGTCTAATTGCTTAGACTTTATCTATATTCATAATACAATTCATATCTAATTGCTTCTACTTTTATTTGAGTGAAATAAAGTATATGTTGTTAAGCAATCTATGTCTTTGGTTAACTTTGATTAAAAATATTGTGCCCTATTTTCTTATTGAAATATTTCTTAAATAACACAACCATGAATTTAACTCAATATCACCTTTCCTGGCTAAACATGTTTGATTTAGGGGCAACCGAGCATCATGAGCAAATCTGCAAATTCCTCACCTGATCTAGCATCACTTGAATAAATTACCTGAACACTTTGGTGCTATGAAAACCCATTGACTCAGAGTTAAGTCAAAAAGGGAGGGGGGGAACCCTACATTTCATCTCACTGAACCACTTTAAAAATTATTTTCATAAGGGTCTGTCATTCATCCATTCTATTTAATTCAGGTTTTCTTGTATTGCATTTGAACATTGCAATCATGTTTCAATCCCTTTGAATTTCTCATTTTCCTGCAGTAAGTGCACATAATCACAGTTCCTTTTGAGCATCCAGGCAGCTACATACAGTGTGACAGTCTAATTTTGGAACAGAACACTTTTGCTCAACAAACACTATGCAACAAAATAAAAAGGGGAGCAAAATATGATGCTAAAAATAAGTCGTTTTTCATGTGACTGAGCAAGTTGACTGAGAAAATATTGTTATGAATTCAATATCCTTCTGTATCAAGTGTTTCAGAGTCATAAGGCAAGGAATTTTTTTTAGTAGGAAAATATGTAGAATTGGTATTTACCCAAATCACAGCAGCTAATATGTAGACTTTACTTATAACCTCTCTTATTTACCTTATCAGAAAGCAGGTAAATGGGAATATAATTTCAAGGTAAGTGATCTATTAACTGGCAACCCAGACATTTCCCTGTGTAGCACTCCTAATAAAAATAGTTGCTTGATTTGCTTTTTGAAGGCTGCCAGTATCAGACAAGTGTTGCCTTTCCATATCCCTATTGACCCATAGCTGTGATTTCTTATGTAGAATAAATTAGTGAATAGGAAATTTAATAGTTTAGTATTGCCATTTTAGTTCTTGTTTCTTAAACATTTTACTGGTTTACTAAACTACTCATTCTGTTTTAACAAATGCACAGGTCACTTTATCTGGAGATCACATTTAACATTTTGAATAACAACTTTATTATTTTAATTTTAAATGACCATTATTCTGTACTTGATCAATAAGGGAAATCCTATTGTATTTACAATAATAATATTAAATTAAATATCTGTAACAGTATAAATTAATCTTACTTTGTTTATCCCTATGTATAATCATTTAGGTTTCATTTTAAATTTTAGTATGGCGTCTTTTAAACTGAGACCTGTATGATTGGTTCTTCAGTCAACTGTACAGTCACTTCTGTTTGTTCATTAAAATTTCAAAGTTTTTACTTGATTATTTTAATACAAAGGTACAAAGGTCTCACTTTCTAATTTATGACTCTTTTGTCTCTGAAATTGTTTCACTAGCCTGTTTCAGTTGGTTTTCAGTAGTAATTGTATCTTCAACAGAGTTGATATAAGGAAACTCCATGACATATCTTGTTTTAGGTGCAGACATACAAATAAGTTTAAAGGCAGGAAGTATTCACTTTTTCTTATGCATTTTAAAATACAATGATTAAAATTTTGTAAATCCCAGGAAATACTAATTCTTTTACTTCAGAGGAGAAAAATTGAGTAGTGCTATAATAGATTAGTGATCATATTGCCCTGTTTTCCAGTCAGTGTTAAATAAGGCTGTAGGAAGAGAAATCTGGTAGTGTGCTGCATGTCAGCCTGATATCACATTGCCTTCAAAGCTGAGTTAACATGACTGAACCTTCTAAAGCCGTGAGGGCATTTGCAACAAATGTAACAAAGAACAATTTTAAGAAAAAAATGTACACCCAATATGAAAAGATACAAGATCTTGAATAAATAGCAAAGGAAAATATGAATAGCCAATAAAAATGAAAAACGTTAATTTAAGGAACTATCAAAAACACATACATCAAAATCTCCTGGGCGTGTTTTTATTCATATTTTTATGTTCCCGTCAATCTGTCAAGCAGTGTTTTTAATGACAACACACAATGTTGCTGTAGATGCAGTAAAACTGACAACCACTATCCTGGCATATAATAAGCGTAAGAAATATTAGCTGTTGCTGCTATTATTGAATAATTAGTATAGATATTTTTTTTTAATTTGCTAATAGGTATTAAAATGTTTATACTTTTGACCTTGTGATTTTACTTGTAATAATTATTTCTAAAGAAAAGATTATAATGTGCAGAGACATGCTGGGAGATATTTATCACAGCATTCTTTAGAATCACTCCAAACTGGACAGAGATTGCCCCCAAATGAAAAAGTTAAATGACTTTTGGCAAATCTCCTTTATAGAAATTGTTTATTTTCTGTGTTTTTAAGATTATTTTAATGATAAAAGAGATGCCCACAATATCAATTGAAGAGTGTTTAGTTAGATGACCTCTATTACATAAATTTGCAGAATGTAAGTGATAAAAATTACTTACTAGAAAACCTAAAGTAATAATTGGTATCTCTTATAGGCAAAATACTCAGAAAAAATAAACTCTTATTTTTCAAACAAATGAAAGCACCAAATGTTTTTTTAAATAGAAAATGATTTTGTCTCAGTGGAGCTGTTTAGATTTCTAATTTTTCTTAGAAGTACCTAGGTTGTACTTAGGCATTTTTAAAGTACCTTAGTGAAAATTCTTTGAATTTTTTTAATAGTCATTCATGTGATAAACATTTTGGGTCAAAATATTATAAATGTATTTTTTATGGAAAATTTTATAGTTTATTCATGTTCTGGAGTTACATTTCCTGAGCATAAGTAAAATCAAATTTTGTTTTTGTTTCAAACCAAGGAAAAGTTTATAATTTATTATGTTTTTACTGACACATGAAGTTCAGAATCACTAACCCTGGGGTCTTTGATGTCAACATGAAATTTACTAAGAAAAGTTCATTGCAAAATAAAAAAAAATTACTGAGGGTAGAGGATTATCAAATTAGAAATTTTAAACAATATAGATAGAAAATAACAATATAGATAGGAAATTCAAGTTTGGCTTTTTGAAAAATCCCCAAACTAGTCTCTAACAAATCAAATTATATACTTAATTGCTGTTTTAACAATAAAAACGTATTATATGTGATAATGTTACCTTTCCTACTTTTATAAATCTTTAATTTACCATTTTACTGTAGGATGTCAGTCCTCGAAATTGAAAATCCAATGATTTGTATCCATTAAGCTGCCCAAAATATGTGGTTAATTTTATCAAAATATATTTTTCTGCATTAGCCCTTCACTAAGTGGTTTAATCAACAAACCTATGAGTGCTTCCTATGAGCCACACTGGGTTTGATGATGTAGGTTGTTATGATCCCTGGCCTTCCTGGAGTAGGCTCCTTCTGAGAAAATAGATGGAAAATAAGAAACAAACAAATTAATTACAAATTGTGTTTGGAGAATAAAGTCAAATTAAGAGCCCAAAATGGACTTGATATTTTTTTCTTTTTCCTTCCTGCATTAACTTCCTAATTGGTATTTAGATGAATGTGATAATATGTATGTGGGACATTTTTAACACCACCAGGTTAGCCCTGTGAAGACATAGTGGAAACAGTTTGCGTACAAAGTAAAGCAAAGCCTTATAGCGAATTGATCCCTTAGATTTTCTCCTGGCATCCACTGAAGTTTAGGGCAAAGGAGAGAGGGAGCCAAAGACCATGATTGAAAACTCTGTGGACTAGCCAATGGTTTTGAATACCCATACTGACAAAATAATGCATGTAGCACTATAAACATTTAATTACTTGGACATTGAGAATACAACCTTTTCTACCCAAGTTTTTCAGCATTTGATCTCAGACTCTGCTCCGTATTCTTAGTCCCACCTTCATTTACTCCTGCCGATACACTTGATATTGAAGCCATGAGAAAGGATGTGGCTCACAGCCCGTGGATGCGATTATTGTGACATGCGCCTTCCATTCTTACCCAGTAGAAATTGTATGCTGTAGAGAATGATTGATTGGTTACTGCCTTTGTGTTTGATTTTGTCATTATTCATTATTTTCTTTGTCAAACAGACCCACACTCTTCTTCACATAATCACCCAGTCCTGTCTCTCAGTAAGAAAAGTAACTGATGGCTCCCAACAGCCCACTGTGGAAATATGTAATGATAGCCCTTTGCAAAAATGGCTACTAAGAAACTATACAAGAGCGGAAGTTTTTAGAAATATTTTTGAGAATCCTACTGATTACGTTCTCTAATAATTTTTGGAGGTTTGTGTTGCAGACTTTACTAATATTAGCTCAGTATTTTTGTTATCAAAATCTAGAAATTTACTTCTCTAATATGTGGTTAAGGATAATCTTTATGTGCTATTTCTCCATGGAGTTATTTTTCTGTCTTATACTTCTGAGCTGCATATATTTAGTAGTATTTAGTCTGTAATTAATTAGTAGGTATTTTCTAGGGTTTTTTCCTTTATTTTAAATAGATATGCCTAAATATAATTGATGGAATGTTTTATGACATATTAGCTCTTGTTTAAGGCTAACTGTAGTCTGTCTTTATGACAATAGATTTCAGCATTAGAGCTGAAAACCCGTTAAGAAAATTAAAAACATGAAAATTAAGATAGCCAAAATATTTCTTTTGGAACATTGAAATTATTTAATGTTGTTAATTTCAATTCAGATACTTTGGTTGTGTGCAGATACACCATATCCTTTCTGGAATTTATTACTTTAAGCTGACACTAAGCAAATGCATTATTAAAGACTAAGATTATTGGTTAAATGATATAATTATAATAATAAAGCTTATAAAAATGTACATTTTCTCTGTCACTTGCATGATTTATGAATATCTTCTCAGCAAGCAATAAAATGAATCATTATTCAGCTTATGCTAAAAAAATGTACTGGTATGGAATTCTTGTAAAGAGTGAAATTGGTCTAGGTGTTCATTTTCCAGTAAATAAAGTATATTATATTTTCCACTACCTTGCTAGGAAAACACATGAGAAGTTAGGGAGGGAGTTTTTCTGGTTCAGATGAACCATTAAAGGTTGGAATTGAGTTTGGAATACTTATAACAAGGCTGGGAATAGAGGTATGGAGAGGAGAGGAGAGAAGAGTGTTGTTTAGGTTAGAACTACATTTGAGACTAGGGCATTCTAAACATGTGTTGGGAAGCTGGAAAAGTCTGGTTCTGTTACACAATGGTAACTTATGTATAGAGCAATTTACATATATTATCTTAGTTTGTTTTTAAAGCAACCTTAACTGTAGATACAATACCCAATAAGGGACAGAATTCTAGGGTAGAAACCACAACTTGTTTCTCAGCAGAATTTGTCTCATTTCCCATCGCAATTCATACTGCTTTCTGGGAGCTGGCAGCCCTGTGCAAGGGGGATGAGAGCCACATCAGGTGGATGTGGAAACCAGTCTGGCTTTCATAGCCGCGTGCCTCTCAGAAGACAGTGTCTCTGTAACAACTCCATAGGCAGAGCTTCAAGCAAACCAATGGAACATGCAAAACTCCAAGTCTTTGCACTTAGAGAAACCCAGTTTGGCTCCCCACGAGGCATTTTTACTGAAGTTGATTAGATGCAGATACAGTTTATCAATCAGAGGTCATTTTTACCATAGGTAATGTTGCCTAGAAACATAGTTAACATTTTACCATTATCAGGTTGCCAAGGGGTCACAGTTAAGATAGTTGACTGAGGTCAAATTTTTTAATTAGAAAAAAAGGGCATTTTTAAGTATTCATAAGTTTAAATGAGCATCTTCTCACAAAGAATCTGATTGCTCAGAATAATTTAAAAATTTGCTCAAGTTTTCACAGCCAGTAAGTGGGGGTGGAAGGGTGGGAATTTACACTTACGGCTGCCTGAACCTAACATGTCTGCTGTTTCTACTGTACATCATTAAAAATGAGAGTTTTGTTTGGGTGGTTGTTATCTCTACAGTTGTGGTTTTTGACTATTAATGAAGTCCTTCAAAGAAAACATACATTTTTAGACAGAACAACACTAATATTTTTAAAAGTACCCCTTTAAAAGGACTATATATAATCGCTTCTCGGCCTTTTGGCTAAGATCAAGTGTAAAAGGACTATATACACAGAGGATCTCAGGTATGTAACAATCTTCTTCATATCTGGCAACCTTGCTTTTTTAATTTCCTGCTTGTTGTCTATCAAGCATCCTCCACTGCAAGCCTATTTTCCATTCCATCTTTTCTCAGGACAGTGAGGTCCAGGCTGTTTACAGGTCTAATCCAAACAAATTACGATTGTCTAGGCAGTGTTTCTCCACCATTTTTATTGCATTCCCCCTGCATTTTTTTCATACAACTTTCAATTGTAATAGTATGAGCCAGAAAAAAAATTACCTACCTTTAATTTTGATGATTCAAAACAAGATATACTTGCAAATCACCTCCCATGCATTGAAACACTTCTCTTCTTCGAAGTTTCTTATGTAGTATGGTTCTAGGCATTCCCCATGAAACTGAGCAAACATGTGCATAATTAGTGAGCATAAGTTAGTATAAAGCATGTGGACTTAAAACGTATATCTGTAAAGTCCCCAAAATACATAATTTCAAAATGTAAATGTGAACTCAAAAGGGAAGATGTATAATGACAGTTAACATGATGCATTTTTTGGAATTACATTTCAGCATTTGGGTACTGAGATGATGCTTATTAATGAATATCATTATAAAGAAAATAAAATGTAGATATAAATTTAAAAATATGTGACAGTCACACCCCTGATTTAATTTGGTATTAAATTTTTTAAAGATTCTCAGACATGCAAACTAAATTAGGGAGGGCATACTATCAAGTAAGACAGATCTTCACTGTGATAATCACTCAAATGCAATGAATTTCTCAGTCACAGATAGTATGGCCTGTTTAGTATTTGGAAACATCTCTAGCAGTTTTCTCATTTGGGTCACAGCTGTGACATCTCTTTGCATGTTTACCAAATGGTTACTAAATAACACATGCCTAAGATAACTAGGCTTTTGTGAAAGCTTGTTAATATTTACAGCCCTGGACTGAACTCAGAGCTCACAAATGGGCTTTTTGCAAAGGAGCCCGAATTCTTGGCAATGCGGAACACATGTTGGCTAATTTCTTTAACCATCTGCAAATAAAGGTGTATTAGACAGTGATGAAACCCTGACAGGGAAAGCTGTATAATAATTAATTCACAACCACCTGTGCACAGTTCCTTCTATAAACATATCACAGTGTTTATACTAAAAAGAAAATCATAAAGGTCTCTTAAAGGGCAGATTTAATGTGATGTGCTAGTGAAGTTAAAGATTTAATATGCTGCACTGACTGTGGGTTATCTTTTCCAGAGACTCACCTTGAGACATGTGAACAGTAACCAGTGTCTCGATGAACCTTCGGAAGAAGACAAAATGGTGCCTACCATGCAGGACTGCAGTGGCAGCAGGTCCCAGCAGTGGCTGCTGAGGAACATGACTTTGGGGGCATGAAGACCACTTCCCCCAAGCCATGGAAGTGTCTCTACACTTTTGTTTTTCCATTATTTCAATTAAGGAAAAAGATTAACTTTGCTGAATTGAAAGTTTTAAAATCCTTTTAGTATTCTAAAACACAGTTGTTTATAATTCATTTTTAGGAATGTTTGCTTATTTCCGTACAAAATTTGTATCTGATCAAAAGCACATAAAAATATGAATAACAGCAAACTGTTATTAAACATTTGAAAAACTTTAAAAAAAGTGTTTGCTTAAAATAAAAATAAAAAACACACCTCTTTCTTGCCCTCATGTCACAGGATTAGTTGTGGGGAGGGGTATTTTTATTTTTTATTTTCATAGTGATTGAAAGAGAGACAATGTAAATGCCTTATAAAATACCTTCATTATGAAATAGAATCATTTTATAAACTCACTCTGTTTCCACTGGACCTTCATGGAAACATGTTGAATTTCTTTGTCAACAGCAGGCCATACATTGAATTATTTCTGAGCAATTAATTCATCATACACAATAAGTTCCAAGTTTTGTACCAGAAAAAAAAACCAATAAACTGGACCTTGACTTACAGAGTTGTTATAAAAGCATCACATTTAAACAAACAACAACAAAAAAAAACAAAAAAAGAGAAGAGTTTGAAAATTCAATTTAAAGGACCTGACATCAGAAGCAGCAAGCTGGGTGTGGCGGGGAGCAAGATGATGAAGCTAAACTGCAACAATTGACTCATTTAAGAAGATTCTGTTTAGGTGGTAATCAGTGCTCTCACAGGCTGAGTGTTTAACAATCATATTGGTTCCAGAGTTAAAGTTGGAAACTCAATCCTTAACAGCTATCTTTGTCTCACATAAACCATGCAGTCCTTTTCTCTTCACTCTAGAGACTGTGGCTTGTCACTTATGCTGTTCAGAATTGTAGGCAAAGGGTGGAGAGTATTAGTCCTGATTTTTTGTCTCCTACATGTAAAAATGTTAGGTCACTGTTACCATTTTAATTTTAAAAGATGATTCACTGCTATGCTAGAATATCTAAAAATTTCATTACTAAGGGAATGAACTCAGTACACATCCATGAAACTTTTCATTAATCTGTTAGATACCATTTGCCGTTAACTTATGGCTCAAGGAGTTAGTCATGTTAGGCTAACTTCACACATTCTACTTCCATCTTAAAGCCCTTTGTGCAAAATGAATGAGTAGAAGATACTAAAAAGAAGAAAACTCTATCAGTGAGAATTGAGCTAATAACTTTTAGTATTTCACATCATGTAAAATGCCCTTAAAGTAGCTCTACATATGTATTTTAGTCATTAATAAATACATTCAGCAGCTAAGAGAAATTGTGGAGGGGACAAGGGGGGCGGGAATGGAAGAAACATCTTGCCATATTTTTGGCTCTCTTCTTTAAAAGCTCTGGAAAGCCAGTAAAATCTTGTATGATTTTCCGGCTAGCATTAGCATTATTTCTTTGGCTTTATACTGGTAAAACTCTAAGGAAGAATTCTACAACCTGAAGCACTTCAGGTGTACTTTTCAAAGTGCAGACATTCCTAAAAGAGCCAGTACCCAACTACAGGGCATGAGGGTTGTCATTAGCCAAGTTTAGTGGGAACTGCCTTTGAATGAACAACTGAAGACCTGTGAGGTCCCAGCTCCCAAAACAAACTGGATGTCCCTCAAAGGCAGCTTGGGTTCCTAGCTACAGACCCTGGGAAGGTGAACCAAATTCTTTTTTCAATTATTTTCCTTTCTAAGTTCATTTGCTTTTAGTTTTCCAAGAACTGTAAACGCTGGCTATTTTCTATGTTCTCAGGGGGGGCCCCGGGTAGACAACAAAGCATGATTTCAGAGTAGACATAGGCCAAGAAGCCGTGGCATTGATTGTGCTGAGTCTAGACAAATACATTTATATACACATCCAAATTTGAAGAGAAAATGTGTTTCTTTAAGATTCAAACACTGTAATAGAAATAAAGCAAAAATAAAGACCTGTTGCAAAGTTCAAAAAAACAACAAAAAGTGTAGACATTCCTCATCTTGTGGTCTCTGAGTATCCCCAAATCTTTTAAAATTACAAGCAAAAGTTTGAGTGTTGGGCATTTCTTTTTGGTAGAGAATCCATTGTTTACAGCAAATTTATACAGAAACTGTGACACCCCAGAAGTAGGGAACCACTGCCTTAAATTGACAGTGTCCTCACAAGTCACCTGAGGACTTTCTTTTTCTCCCCCTTTCCTCTTGTCTCACTAAATTAAAGTAAAATGTCCCTGCACATTTGTCCTTCAACCTATAAAGCTTAAACACTCAAGGACTCTTTAATACAATATATTCCATTTATTGTGGATTTGTCAAACAAAATACATGTTATCTAGAAAATGGTCAAAGACAATTTTTTTTTTAAAAAAAATGGTTTATCAAAACTGAATTTGACACATTTCAGCAGTATTTTAAATATCTGAAAGTTCATTATGGTCATAGCAAAAATACAAGAGAAATAAAAACGACATGAGTTTCATGCCAGAGAAGAATTTTCCAAGAATCCTCAGGTGGTATGAGCATATGTTATTAGAATGTCTAACAAACAAAAAATGACATAAAATATTAGAAAACACCAAAAACTAGAAAGCATTAGCTAATTCAATGTTCTTTTCAAAAATATTTATTGTATTCAGTACAGAAATTAAAATCATGATTGGATTTTTATACTTTATTATCTTTCTAGACTAATAGATACTTCAAATGACTTCAAACTTCCTCTATTGATGTCACCCCATTGCAACTCCAGTCTTCCAGATGCTCAGATCAAAAACCTAAAGTCAGTTTTGAGTCCTCTCTTTCTCTCTCAACTCCCATCTAATCCATCAGAAATCCCCTTGATTCTAAACCAACTACTTACCAACACATTTTCTGTGTCACTATCTTTAACCTTTTTAACTGCAACATGCTTATAATTTGGTTCCCTAATTTCCCAGCCCTTGCTCCTAAATAGTCTTTCTCAATACAACAGCCACACCGATTCTATTTAGCATAAATTTATTGTGTCACTTCTCTCTCACAACCCTCCAATGACTTCTCATGTCTCCCCAAACTTCTTGTAGTGGTCTTTATAGTGTCATTCGTATAGTGTCATTCATGAATGACACTCCTATGAGCACGAGCGCGCGCACACACACACACACACACACACACTTCTGAATATTTACTCTACTCTGGTTGCCAAGCAAGTGTCTGTCCTAGGTTTTTGTTCCCTTTGCCCACAGAGCTTTCTTACTCACTTTCTTCAAGTCTTTACTCAAATTTTATCTCATCAGTAAGGCAAACCCTTCTCCCCCTGCCCTTCCTAGCCCCTGTAAATTCTCAAACTATCAATTTGCTTCTTTATTTTGTGTCTATCCTTCACTTTCAAACCCCCTACATTACCATTGCACACCCTAGAATGTCAGTTTTTCTCACTGTGTTATTCCCAGTATCTAGTAGAGTTATTGGGACATAATAAGTCTTCTCTAAATATTTTTGAATGAACTGAAAAATGTGTGTTAAAATTACCAAGTGCTACTGTATCCTATATTTTTTGCACAGTATTTTAAATTTTAAAATAAAGTCAAGTAATATATTTAGACAGGATATACATTACTTTCTCCAAATGAGAGTTTTCTTCCTACTATTCTTCAAATTAAAGGATGGGCTATATTTTGTTCTGTATGTTAGTATATCCTGCCTTATGGAAATAAAATATATGACATTTTATAAACATGCTGCTACATTATATAAGTTGCTTCATTAAGATAAAAATGATTTTTATTTTTTGGTTGTCTTTAATGGCCACATGATGGCATAAATAAGATTTTTACTTTTAGAGGGGAGACATGTATCATTTTCTTAAAAACCATATGTATTTTTATTGTTTCACAGGAACTATTATTACATGTATTTTCTAAGTTCAACTCTATGAACAATTGTAGAAACTTTAAAAAACTTTACAAATGATTTATTCTTAGTTTCTTTGTTTATAGATAGTGAGAATCAGATATGTAATTTAGCTTGTTCAAAGATCATAAAGTCCTGATGTCAGGACTCATCATTGTTAATATAATCTAACACTGTCTTCAATTACAAAGCACTCAAAAATGTAATAAAAAGGGCACAATCATAAGAGAAAAAATGTCTTTATTAAGCGTTTTGTAGTAAGTACATTGATTCTTTAGAAATACCAACTTCTTTTCTTTAGATATATAATCCTTTTTAGAGATAATTAACTTTGGAGATTTAACTTCTCACCACCTTTCATACTTAAATAAAATTATGTCTACAAAATAAAGGCACTAAATAAAGACCTGCCACAAAAGTAGAGAAATTGACAGGAGACATCCTGATTACAGAACATTCTAGCAGTATTGGGCAAACAGTGTTTCAGAGAAGCAAAGCCTCTTCCGCAGTAAACAGGGAGCATATTCTCCCCTCACTCCCACTTCCTTATGATTATGTTCAAGTTTAAAGTAATATTGGCTCACAGCTTGCATTTAAAATTAGACCGCCTATTACTGTGAACATTGAGTAGGTTCTAGGTTATTTGGCTAAAAAGATTGCAGGGTAATCAGCAGAGACTTCCAGGCTTCCCAATGGAGCTCTGTGGACTCTAGTAAACACAACCCATACATTCAGTTTTTCCATGGTGCTTAGAAACCGGTGTAGCTCAGTTGGTTGGAGCATCGTCCATGCACGGAAGTGTTGTGAATTCTGGGTCAGGGCACATGCTCAGGTTTCAGGTTCAAACCCTGGTTGGTAAGCATGGGGGAAGCAGCCGACCGGTGTTCCCCTCCCACATTGATGTTTCTCTCTCTCTTTGCCTCTCCCATCCTCTCTAAAATCAATGAAAAAGAAGAAGAAACAACTTAATAAATAAGTAAAAAGAGGGGATAAATAACTCTAACAATA